TTTGATCGATCGTCTGGTGTCATTTCACCTTAATTTAGCCCGAGGGAATCACAAAACCACTGCGACACCCTGAGGTACCCAGGCTGGGTCGTGACATTTTTATTGGCATCACGGACAGGATTCCCTTGTTAGTGCTAAAGCAATCGTTGGGACCAGGCCTTTACCACGGCCCCTCTCTGAGAGGAGTCATACACCAAGGGAGACAGTTCTCAGAGGACTAATAAGGGATCTGATCCCTATAATTGTAGGCTCATTATGGCCTCCCTGGGAGGCCTGATTGTAGATTGTACCTCTCTCCTGGAGAGATTAGAGGGCTATAACGCCCAACCTTCTCCCTCTGGTATGACTTGGGCCCATAGTAGTAGGCATGATCCGCAAGCGGTAGCTGACAGAATATCCACTTCAGCTAAGGAGCGAAGGTTGAAGCAAGGAAAGGGGAAAGCATTGGTATGCACGGTTTTGGGAGCTGCCCTGGTGGCAGCACAACAGGATAAACACGTGGTCCCGTTTATCAGAAGCAGAAGAGGAGGGAAAAAAATCCCTTCAAGATCTAGTGAAGGCTCTGCAGGAACAACTAGAAAACGAGACAAAAAGTCTCTGATCAGCTTGCTGCCTAGCGGGTGACCAACCAAAGGCTACATACCGCTTTGACAGAGACTCTGGAGCGGGAGAGAGTATTACGGGAGCAATTAGATGAAACCCGCTCCCAAATTGGTGTAGAAAATATGGATGCAGAGTCTCATGAGGGAAAAGAATCAAAATTGTTATACCCTCGTAAAGATCTAGAACATGTAAGAGAAATATTTTCCCTTGGAAGGGAGGAAGCTATAATGCGACCTTTAATTAAGACCGAGACTGTAGATGGTGGTCAAGGGGGAGTCCAGCAAGTTACTACCCACATCGTTCCTTATTCCCCTACTGATTTGGCTAAAATTCAGGAAACATATTCCCAGGGACCCCAAGAAAAGGAAACTGAGTATGTATGGAGAGCATCTCTTACCGGGGGTGACTGTATCTTGCTGAGTGAGGATGAGGCAAGAGGGTATTGGGGATTGGGGATTTTTATAACCACAAATGACAACAGAGAGCCTTGGTCCCTGACCCAAAGGGTAGCATATTGGGCAGATGGACTGGATCCTATGGAAAGGGGAGACCCCTTCTTGATTAAAACGCCTACGGCAGGTCACATTTTAGAGAGCGTACAGAAAACTGCATGTCTCCAGTTGATGCATGACCGATTACTGGTTCCACAACAGCCCTCTCCCACGCAATATGTGGCAGACCCCGACAGGTTGCACCCTCTTATAAGGGGACTACCTTATGCCTTGAAATTATATGTGGTGCAACTAAAAGATCGGTTGAGGGCACCCCGACCCCAGAGAAGGGGAGGTCCCCCAGAGATAACATGGGGAGAAGTAGCACAGGAATTGATTAATTACGGGGGACAAATGGGATTTACCGGTCTGGGAGAGACAAAATCCAAGGCGGACCTTAGAAGGGTGGAAGGGAACGGGGGAATAAAAGCTACGCCCTCGCACAATCCTCGACCCACCCCGGCGAGGCCAACGCAACCGCCTGATAATAGAAGATACATACCATGGGCAGAGGGCATTTCAAAAGGGATTCCCAGGGAGGTGATGAACGGGTTGCCCACTCCCAAACCGGAAAGTTTGGTGAAAAGCTGGGACAAAATAAAGGGAACCCCATCTCTCTCAGACCCCAAGGATCTTCCTCTCCTATCCCGGGAACCTGGAATAATAACCCCATCTGCACCCCGGGAGACTGACTTGATCGATTTGAGCATCCCCGAGTTGGGAAACCCCCTCTGCTGTCCCCAGTCAGTGAGCCGAGGGACGGCCGGTGGATCTATTTAAGAAGGCTCAGAGAAAGTGACAAAGGGGACTTGTTGATTACCTTTCTCCTGGGCCCCTTCAAGACTCCAGTCACCTTCTTAGTAGACACAGGGGCTCAGATGTCAGCTCTCTGGACGGATGTTGCCAATCACGGAAGAGTTGCTGACAAAAAACAAATTCGGGTCACAGAAGTTTTTGGAAATTCTGAGTAAGTCACAGCCAACCACCCGAGTCAGGTGCTGGCTGCCAGGAGATCCATACCCTGTTGAAGCCATAACGATATTAGGCTCATTGCCCACAAACATTCTAGGATTGGACTTACTAAAGGGGATAGCATGGGTAGACTCAAAGGGAAGGGAATGGAAGTTCAGACTCCCTGCATCCTCAGTGAGACTGTTACAGTCGGTGCCTGCACTCCCTCCTTCAAAGATAGTCAATGTGAAACCCTATGCCTTGCTGTTAGGGGCAAGGGAGGGAATTCCCCCTGTAATAACTGAGTTGCGGGAA